GTGTGTGTGTGTGTGTGTGTGTGTGTGTGTGTGTGTGTGTGTGTGTTAGTGTGTGTGTTAAGTACTTAGATTTATTATTTTATTAACTTCTAACAATGATTTTTAGCACCGTACTACATATGATGGGTCATTCATATCTTGGGATTTTCATCACTTTTACAAGTAAATAAAAATGATTCTTACATGTACTTTGACATCTTTAAAAATATTTATAAAATCGTATGTAAATATTATAACTAATTATATAGAGTCGATAAAATGTTTAAAGTAGAAATATATTTCATTATTTTAAAATCGATATTCCAAACTACAGAAGAGATAGTTCAAGCGTCGGCTGTCACAAAACTAGTTTAGTTAAATAATTTGAAAATGATTTTTTTTTTATAGTGCATAAATGGATTTAAATTAAACATTTATTGCACTTATATTTCATACAATGCGTTTTATCATTGATATATTGCATTACAAAAAGTTACACTAATTAGAAAAAAGATTTTAATTTTTATTTGTGTGTGTGAATATTAAACAATTTTCATTTAGTACATTTTTAAAAAATTTCTATAATATTCCACACACGAAATCGTTTCATTTTCAATTTTTTTTAACAATTTGTGAAATTTTTATCAAATATAAACTTGGAGAGAAAGAGTACTAGGAGTCAGGCGCAGATAACTTTACGCAAATGCTGATGTATAACAGATATTTTTCCTTATTTTCAATTGTAATTGGTCAATTCTTGGTTCACACCTTGACGGAAAAACGGAAAGTGGAAGAGCAGTAGCCAATCAGAACTCGCGTTGGTAGTAAGTAGAGACCCTATAATAGGGAATCTGGCCAATGTTCTAGTATGAAATATAATGGCGTTCATTAGGAACACATACAGGGGGTCTATTCTTGAAAAGAAACGTATACGAAAGTCTAGGGTAATACTACAGCACAGACTACAGTATGGGTGCGTTCTTTTAGGCATCGGATACAGCAGTTCTTGCAATGATTTGTTCTTTTAGCGCAACTGTACAGTCGATTGCAGTGCAGATTTTCGTTCTTTTGGTAATAGATACGCAGTAGATACGCAGACGATTAGAATTAGCTGCGCAGCCGGCTACGTATCTACGTGATCGTATAAAAAAATGCCCGTTCGGTAAATCCGATGCGCAGCGGCTGCCAAATCCAATGCCTAAAGCCCATTCTACATTGGTCGTATCGTAGGCATCGCAGGTCACAAATTTGTTGCAACAGCCAATCCGATGTGTCAATTAGAAGTCTCACGGCGCTTACGATGCTACGTACGATACGACCAATGTAGAATGGGCTTTACGACGCTTAGAGCCCCAACACACACTTTTGCATAACGCATAAAGCATGTGCATAAGGAATTTCATTGGCCCATTTTCTTATGCATGAATCAATGGACCAATCAAATTCTTTATGTATATGGTATATGCGTTATGCAAAAGTCTGTGCTCCCCGCTTTACGATGCTACGATACGACCAATGTAGAATGGGCTTAAGGCTGGAGTCACATTGAGCGGAAATTACAGCGGAACGGAATAGTGAAACCAATCAGAACTCTACAATCATTCCGCTGCTTTACTTTCTGCGATTGTGATTGGTCTCGCTGTTCCGTTCCGCTGTAGATTTCCGCTGAATGGTCTGGTTTACATCGTGCACTTGATACGCGTACTAACTGGTTACTTTCTATTAAATTATCTTAATTTCAGTAATATATTTAAAGAATGATGTATAAAATTGATACAATACGCATCAAAATGTTTAACTTAAATACGTTTATTGTGTATACATTTACATATATCGCTGAAATTAAGATAATTCAATAGAAAGTAACTAGTTAGCACGCGTATCAAACACGACCAAAACCAGGCCAATGTGACTCCAGCCTTGGCTCGCTATTATTGGTGTATTCTTCTAGATCTGAAATTCTGATTGGATGATCTAAAAGAATACACCAATAAACGCTTCAAAGCATTCGTAGTGGCAACTCGACTGCAACCGTAAACGCATGAAACACATTTAATACGCGTATCAATTCTTTCACGATGTAAACCAGGCCATTGTATCACACCGTGGATACGGTCGAAGTCTCGCTACAAATGCTTTGAAGGCGTTTGATTGACCAATCAGAAGAAAGGACTTTACAAATTGACCAATGAAGAAACGCTTGAAAGTGTATGTTCATTTGTATGGTCATCGCGTTGACCATACCCCGTGTCATCTGTGTCGCTTGTTAGAAAGCACTCTTATTAGTGTCTCTACACCCACACAGGGCAGGCGCAGGGTGCGTGGAACGTAGAACGTCGGTGTAAACATGCGCCGGCGGCGGGCGCAGACGGAGGCTGGCATGTGATCCTGGCTTCATTGTAGATAATACGAGGCTGGCGAAAAATGGCGGATGAACAGGTGAGTCGCCGACGAGAATAAACACGTCTGATCTCGCGCGTGACGCAACGCTATTAATCGCGATACGGAGCGGGCGTCGGTCAAGCGGCCGCGACCCGCCGGCGGAATCCGCGCCGGATTTCCGCGTGTGTCGCGTCCACCCCACACTCGTGCGTGCATGCGTGCGTGGTTTGTCCGACAGTGCGGCGCGTCCGCGCGCATTCGCCG